CACACGCATAGTGTGGAACTCGGAACGCACTGCTCAGTTCCCTCAGCTCTTTGCTCAGATCTCTGGAAACCTGACTGAGATTCCCTGCTTACTCCTGCGCAAGCAAACCTGCGAACGCTTCATCCCGCAGACCCATAGTTTCGCTGTCACGTCAATCTCTCTGGAAGCTGAGAATACGGAATGGGCAGGGTTCAGAGTCGATCAAGATCAGCTCTACTTGCGGCACGATTACTTCGTCCTCCACAACAGTGGTTTCGAAGAGTCCATGAAGTTCAAGAAGCTCACGAACGCGCAACGCTCTGGTTTGAACCAGATCCCGAATCGTCGCTTCACTCTTTGGTGGTCACCCACGATCAACCGCGCCAACGTGTATGTCGGTTTCCAGGTCCAGCTTGATCTGACTGGTATATTCTTGCACGGCAAGATTCCTACTCTCAAGATCTCGCTAATCCAGATCTTCCGTGCCCATCTGTGGCAAAAGATTCACGAATCTGTGGTGATGGATTTGTGTCAAGTCTTTGACCAGGAGCTCGAGTCCCTTGGTATCAGCATGGTTCAGAAAGAGACGATTCATCCTCGTAAATCGTACAAGATGAACAGCTCTTGCGCCGACATTCTTCTCTTCGCCAACCACAAGTGGAATGTTACCAGGCCGTCAATGCTGTTTGACACCAAGGACGTCATTGAGCCGACAAGTACAAACAAGTTCTGGGTCGATGTTCAACTTCGCTACGGCGACTACGACTCACATGACATTGAACGTTACACACGTGCGAAGTATCTCGACTACACGACCGACAGCGCGAGTATTTACCCGTCTGCCACCGGCCTAATGATTGGTATTGATCTCGCATACAACCTGTACTCCGCATATGGCATGTACTTCCCCGGTCTCAAGGTACTTATTCAGCAGGCCATGGCCAAGGTCATGAAGGCCAACCCTGCCCTGTATGTTCTGCGTGAGCGTATTAGAAAGGGTCTGCAGCTCTACGCTTCGGAGAACACCCAGGAGTTCCTAAATTCGCAGAACTACTCTGAACTCTTCAGCAACCAGACCCAGCTGTTCATTGACGATACCAACGTCTACCGTGTTACAATTCATAAGACATTTGAAGGCAATCTGACGACAAAACCGATCAACGGAGCCATCTTTATCTTCAACCCTCGCACCGGTCAGCTCTTCCTCAAAATCATTCACACAAGTGTCTGGGCAGGCCAGAAGCGTCTCGGTCAGCTCGCAAAGTGGAAGACTGCCGAAGAAGTTGCAGCCCTGATCCGCTCCCTGCCCGTGGAGGAACAGCCGAAGCAGCTGATTGTCACCCGCAAGGGTCTCCTTGACCCTCTCGAGGTTCATCTTCTCGACTTCCCCAACATCTCCATTCGCGCCTCCGAGCTGCAACTTCCGTTCCAGGCTGCGATGAAGGTTGAGAAGCTGGGTGACATGATTCTCCGCGCTACCGAGCCGCAGATGGTTTTGTTCAACCTTTATGACGAGTGGCTCAAGTCTCTTTCTTCATACACCGCATTCTCGCGTCTGATTCTCATTCTTCGAGCTCTGCACGTCAATCCCGACAGACCAAGCTCATCCTTCGACCCGACAGGACTGTCATCACACAGGACCACCATATTGGCCCACACTGTCGGACGAAGACTGGTCAAGGTCGAAGTGCAGCTTCGCGATCTCATCCTGAATGACTACGGAAAGAAGAACAATGTCAACGTGTCGAGTCTGACCCAGCAGCGAAGTTCGCGACATTATTCTCGGCATGGAGATCTCGGCGCCCTCGATGCAGAGGCAGCAGGCTGCGGAGATTGAGAAGCAGCAACAGGAACAGCAGCAACTGACCGCTGTAACGACTAAGACACAGAACGTGCACGGCGAGGAGCTCGTCGTGACCACGACGTCTCAGTTCGAGCAGCAGACTTTCGCCTCCAAGACGGAATGGAGAACTCGCGCGATTGCCACGTCCAACCTACGTACTAAGTCGAACAATATCTACGTCTCTTCCGTGGACAATGACTCAGACGATATTACCTACGTCATGCCCAACAACATTCTCAAGCGGTTCATCACCATTGCCGATCTTCGCGTTCAGGTCGCCGGTTATCTTTACGGAACATCTGTTCCTGACAACGATCAAGTCAAGGAGATCAAGTGCATCGTCATGATCCCCCAGATCGGCGGTCTCCGCAACGTGCAGCTCCCCCAGCACGCCGCAGCACGAGTACCTCGAGAACATGGAGCGCTCGGCGTCATCCACACCATGTCCGGCTCGGAGCTGCCGTACATGTCGGCCATGGATGTCACCGAGCACGCCAAACTGCTCGACACGCACTCCGACCTGGGACAAGAACGACACCGTCACTGTCGCTGTCGCCTTCACGCCCGGCTCGGTCTCGCTCTCGGCCTGGGGTCTCACGCCGCAGGGCTACAAGTGGGGCGCCGAGAACCAGGACCTCGGAAGCGACCAGCCGCAGGGCTTCACAACGAGCATGGGCACTAAGCGCAAGCTGCTCCTCAGTCCCCGTTTCCGCGGCTTCTTCCTCGTGCCGGAGACGGGCAAGTGGAACTACAGCTTCATGGGCAGCGCCTTTGCGGGCATGGAAAAGAAGCCCGTGCACGTCAAGCTCGACACGCCGCTGCCGTTCTACAGCGACCAGCACCGTCCCATCCACTTCCACAGCTTCGCCGAGCTGGAGGACATCTGGGTGGACCGACAGGACAACTTTGCGTAAAGCACGCAACGAGAGCCAAGCACATCACACGCAGAGAGAGACATGCAGAAGGAGGAGGGCGAAGGAGACAGGGAGGGGTGGTGGAATCGAAAAATTGTGAATGCGGTTGAGGCTCGGAGCCTGGAACACGGTAGGCTCGAACGTGGGATTTTCCGGGCTTTGTATGATGTGCCCACCGGCACCTAGGGATGCCGGGCGAGGCTGAGGCGAGGCGGTCAGAGAGGGAGATACGCTGGAGAGAGGAGGGCTGTCTTTGGAATCTGGTGATTTGCGGTGATTGGCGTTTTGCGATGGACCTCGGACCGCGATGTACGTGTCCGAGTAATGGCAAATGTAACTACCAAGAATGATGCATTTGGTTTGACTACATGTATGATCAACTCTGGGTATGTACCGTGTGGAACCCAAACTTCGGTTCGCTCGACCGAAAAGAAACATTTGTCATGATCGGAAGATCAAGGAGAGACGGCCTCGGGAGAAAGACACGGCAGGATCGCCGTGATCTCCTGAGGAGTCTCCATCGCCTTAAACCTTCCCAGGGGGGGTAGGTAGGCCGAGACGGGGGTAAGGTAACAGGGCCGATCGAATGGCTGGCTTACGAGAAATCGAAGGCGCGCCAGGGTCAGAATCCGGGCATACCAGCCCGCGCGGCTATATTCGATGCGTTCGCCGTCTAGGTTTAGGTTTTTTTTTTTTTTTTTTTTGCTTCGTAGAGTTACGGTGATCTCGGCGTTCTTTGGTGTCGGCGAATTCTTTTTTTGGTTGCGGTTTGATACCCGATGTGACGTCTGTCTTTGGGCCGGAATCTGTTGCACAACCCCAGAACGAAGGAGACCCCCATGCCTAGCTTATGTGTCCTTTGTCCTTTCATCATGGCGCGTGCCGAATATACAAACTCTGTCCCAGATGCACGATGTCTGCCTGAAATGTGCCAAGCTATCGAAGTCTATCTCGATACAAACGTGCCGAGTATTGAACCCCTGCAATATCGGCCAGCACCAGGCATTATCAGTCTCTCGTGACACGATCAGGGTAGCATAGAGCTGCTCAAGCTATGGCCAGCATCGGCACCAAGCGGCATAGGCTCCAGCGAAACGGCGATGAGGTATGGATGTACAATCTAAAACGGATGCAGAGGTGAAAACAAAGGCGGTTGTTCTTAGCCTTTGGCCTTAGCAAGTGCTGATTCAGCTCGCCGTGTTTAACGCAGGGGCGTATCAAAATTGGGGCCGTTCATGCGTTGATGCGTCCACGTCTTCGTCTTGGGCCCGTGCTACAGATGCCACATCTCGGCAGCCGATCTCGGCAGCTGTGCCCTATTTTCGACGGGGAAGTATGGCTGGGGAAGTGTCGTTCCCGCCGGCCGGAGAATTTACGTCTTCTTTTTTCTCCTTCTTTTTTTTTTCTTGCCTCTCAAGGAAACAGTGCGTGGTGCAAGGGTGTTGCATTTCGTGCTGTTGATGTTATGAAGGGGCCTGCCATGAGATGCCAACAAAGACGCGCCTCGTAGCTGAAACCCCTGGCGAGCGCCACGCCATGCAAGTAATGGAGAAGGATCAAGAACATGGGCTCATGTCGATGACAGGACGGATGTCACCGCGGGAGGACAATTGATGGACGGCTCAGCCTGTTCTCTGGGAAATAGTGGAGATGACTAGAGCTGCAGGTACGCGCAAGGCGCAGCTTAAAATAACCGTTGACCTTGTCGCATAGACGATCCGAAATGATGATGTCCGGGGCTATCGAACGCCGCATCGAGCATGCAGCTTGGGCTGGGTGACAGGAGGGCTTCAGAGCCTGAAGGGTCCGAGACACTATTGAATTGAATTTTGGAGGGTGGGGGAGCGCGGAATTGGCTGCCTCATCAGAGGTCGCCGATTGTGAACAGCTTCGCTCAGGCCGAGCTATTGCAGCGACGAGGTTGGTCATGGGAGGGTACTTGGGGGCGGCGTCATGATGACGGCGGCAGGACAGGTTGGCGGTGCCTCACTCATACATGACCAAGCATGACAGGATCCACCTGCTGCTTGGAAGGTGTTCGTTTTGTGTCGCATTGCACACACAAAGTTGGTTGGGGAGATCAAACACCATAGTGGGAAGCCTCCGAAGAGCCCTGGCGAGGGGCAGAGGCGGGGCGGCACAGAGTGGCTTGGAAGCAGACAGAACAGACACTGGTTTCCGCCAGGGTCACGAGGTGCCCTTTCCACCATCCCTCATGCCGAGAGCCTTGGGCGCGACGAGAAGAGGACGATGTCAGCAGTCCCTGAGGTGACCAGGCGACAGGGCCGTTGATCTTCGTAGCCGGCGTCCTGAATCATGGTGTCTGACCTCGCTTGTCGTTCAAATGCTACAAGGCGGGAAACTAGACAGCCGCCTGCGTGGGGGGGACTCGACCCCAGTGGGGTTGACAAACGCCTTAGCGGACATCTGTCGGATCCCCGGTCGTCCTAGTCCACCATGCCGGTTCCAGAAAGCAAGCCCGCTCTTGAACACATGTGGGAACTCGTTGGCCACGGGAGACCTTCAAGCAACGAGTGGTCTAGCTACTGGTAATGGACGACGTCGGTCTCGGAACCTCGCCGCTGAACACTGCGTGTTTTCCTGGCGTGGGTGGAGTGAGCCTCCTCGAGCTTGTGGTCCTCGTGCTTGTGATCCTCGAGCTTGTGGCGTTTATGGCCGAATCGGGAGTGGTCCTGTTGTCAAAGGTGCGGACCGAGCGCAAGAGGGAGTTCCAAGCTCAAAGGCCCTGGCCAGAGCTGGTCCAGGTGCAGCCCTTTTCTTGGTGAGATGGGATGGAGCGAGCAGTATGCAGGTGCTCTGAGACAATAGGCAAGGAAACTCAAGCCTCGCTGGGTTCGCGCTGCGTACGCAAAGGCTGACGGATGGGATCTGGGACAGCTGGGTGCGCTGTGCTCTGTGCTGCTCTGTGCTCTCAACGGCGCGCGCTGGTCGGATCTGTTCGGCTGGTGAGCTCTGACATTGGGTCCTCGGGCCGCAGGACGGTCTCCAAACTATTGGCAACACCAGCTTCGCCATTGGACGGGGGCTAAAGGTGAACGAGACGGAGCAGTTGGCAGGTTCTTCGGGCCCACTTGCTTGTCAGGCACATGGCACAACAAGGGGCAGGAGATACCACGACTCCTCCCTCACCCTCACCAGTCACGAGAGAGGGGTGTACCGTATCGTCCGTCAGAGTCATACATGGTATCCGAATAGGTTCTCAGGCGATACCTGAGCACAGTTCTGGGAGGAGAGGGGATATGCGTGCCTCGAGGTAGGTGCGCCTCATGCCATGAGCAGTTGCCGAGTCCAAGTTACCATGCGCAAGCCACCTCCAATCTCCTCCTGCACAGGTACCTCTAGCACCTCTAAGCAGATGCCTACCTCGACATCGAACTCCTGCGTCTGCCTTCTGCCTTCTGCCTTCTGCCTTCTGCACACCTACTTGTACCGTACCTAACGTACCTAGACAAAGCAGGCAGGTGCCTGGGGAGGCACCTTCGCAGCGGCAAAGACATTGCCTCACTGTCCGTCATCAAAAGCAGAGCAGGAACACGATGCGCGGCACACGTTCTCCCAAGATTCGCAATCTCTCAACTGCATCTCATCCGTCTCACTCTCGGCCATTTCAACCTCGTCGTCCAACCGCATGCCCCTGATGGCATCGCGTGCCTCGCCTGCCCCCCTCGCAACGGCAATCGCCGACCAGCTCAATGCCAATGCGTCAGCCGTTGCCCGTCGCGGACGGCGATCAGACGCTAGAACGACCCTTTCTACCTTCTAGAAGTCTCCCCAGCCTGGGGCCAAGGGGTCGCATAACGTAGCAATTAATTGCCAGGTCCAGGCCGCATACCCATTTCGACCATGTGTCATGCGCATCCTGGCATCCCGGTCCCCAATTTCCGACCATCTGTCTGTCTCTGCCTCGTCTCTGACGCCGCTTGAAGAAACGCGGTGATTGATTCACGTCGGTTGTCAACGATACCGCGCGACGCTTCGAATCCTGAAGACGTCGGCTGCCGCTGCCGCGTCAGGGTGCATCGCGTCGAGGTGCCTCGCAATCGACCTCTTGATGGCCAGCTGCGTGACATCCGTGGTATCTGTCTTGATCATCTGGTCAGCTAAGGCCCGATCTCTGCGAAAGACATCAGGATTGACGAGGGGACACGTATCACGACCTGCACCCGGTCTACGGCTGTCAAAACGTCCCGCCACTATAGCCCACGTTTCTTCCCCGCAAGTCGCCCAATCACTCGTCCTCACTTGTCGTTGCATTGCATTGCCGAATCGCTGGCATACATGGTACATCCTGCAGCACTTTGCCTCGGGGACCTCTGCCCTTTCAAATTCCATTCTACCACGTCGCGTTACATGCGTTCCCTACCGCCTGACGTACCGTCAACCCAAACGTCGTCTTGTTGCCGCCGCGATAAAAGCTCGAAGCTGCTTCCCATCCACACCCCCCCCCCCCCTTCCCCTGATTCTCTGCTCTGTGTGTCATCCAGGGTCCCAATACCCCGTGTCTGCTCGCGCTTCCATCGATCCGGTCACGGATGCAGCTCACGTCTGAGCGCAACGCCCGAATCGCCACGCTCAGCCCGGACAAGGACCTGTCAACGAACAGGCAAGATGGATGTGCCTTCTCTTGCCGCTCAATATTCTCTTTGGACCCCCCGGTGTCCCTTCTTCGGCAATCTCGACACTAGCCTGCTCGCCCTATCGCGTGGGGCAACTGCCTCTTCCCACGGTTCTGTTATACCCTCCCCAGCTCGAATATAGCCCCTCCACCACGACAGGTACACACCAAGTTTTTGCTTCGGGGTTTCTTTCCCAAGCCTTGGAATGTACCTGCACGCTGGCCACAGAGCCGGCCCTTGGCCCTTCATGTGCTGCCAGCGGAATGCGAGAGGCCAGTCGCAGCACTCTGGAGCTTCCCCTCCCTTCCCCCAGTTGCGTGAAGCTGTTCCCTCCCGTTACCTTCAGCTCCCACCTCCTCCCACTGCCTGTGCATTGTAAGGCTCGTTTCATCTTTTGCCAGTCCAGCGACAGCCCCCCTCCCCCTACAATCGACTGTCTGGTCCACGTACGTGCCAGGATGCGTCTGCTCGACCAAGGCTTGTTCAAAGACGACTTGCCCACCCCACCCCTTCCTTTCAGTCTGCTCCCCTTCCACCATCTTGCGTTGCGTCCAGGGTCTTGCTCCACTATGTCTCCAGCAATCGCCAAATTGTCCGGTCTTTCGA